TATAGCGTCAGTTCACAGTTTAATAGGCAAAGTGGAGGATTTTTCTTTTCTCTATTGATGCTAAATGATATAATGTAATATTTAGTTGCAAGGGACATAAACCCACTCACTTTAGCTCAGACCAAAGACAATGATGTACTAGAGCCAGCTCATAGCTCCCAAAAGGCAAATGTTGATACCCTTGACCACATTCAGTGACATCACAATAGTTTACAATATACTATGGTGGGAATAGTTTTACACCTTGGAAAGTGGAAAATGCCACAAATCAGGTCTTTGTTTGCTTAATTTTTAAAAACTAATTTAGCAGCACACCATGCCAAATGTGGAATCTGTAGATTATATAGAAATATCTGTGCAAAACTTGCTGGATTTGGAAACAGATAATGTAAAGTTATTAAGAACAAAAGCACCTTTTTGTGGTATTTTATTTCCTCTTAATCTTTTTGGAACCATGGAGCTTTTTATCTCCTTTAGATCCACACATCTCTTCATTCTTCTCTGTCTGAAGGATCATAGGCACCTCTGGAACAATCAGGTTTGGGTAAAGTCATATAGTAAGAAGGCCTACATTTCTGAGACTGTGGCTGGCACAGGTTCTCAAAGGGGGGATATAAAATGATGATTCACTCAAGTTCACTCTTAAATGCAGTTGTTAAGAGCAAAAATTGAGATGGAAGGGGATTCAAACAAGCAACTACAAATACAAAGGCATTTATGGTTGCCAGAGGAAAAAGCAGAAAGTGGGCATGGAAGCAGATGAGGCTGAGGACATGGGCAAAGGCCAGGCAACAAAACTTGCACATTGAGGAGCTCAAATTTTATTCTGGACTTGACAGGATCTCAAAGGCCAAAGGTATCAACGCTGGGACAGCTTAAGTCTGGGTAGCTCTCAGTAGGCCCTCAGCGTCCTGGGATGGACCCGAGGCAATCTAAAACTAGAATGTCAGATGTACCATTGACTGACCCCTCCCATGGCTGGACATGTCACTTATTCTCCTGCAACCTCTGTTTCTTCATCTGCAAAGTGGAGATGAATAATATCTATCATCTTGCACCTCAAAGGACTGTTGGGCAGACAAATGATAGCATCTATGTGAAAACTTTTAGGATTATAAAACATGCTCCCAGTATAAGGGGTTTACTCATCTGGAAAATGCGGGGATTGGTTTAGATGGCATCTAATGTTCTTCTCATCCTAAAATTCTGTAACTCTGTCATTACCCTCATTATCTGATGATCATGATAAAATTCTAGGTTTTATGGACCTGAAACACCACTCTCTCATCTCGCCAAGAAACCTTAAGTGAAGCTCTTGAGCTGGGAAATACCACTTTCTGGGTGGTTGTTTCCACAGAAACACCAAGAACCATAAAGTTACATGGGAATGTGGACTGTTTGAGTGTGCATAGGAAAAGGAAATTGATTTACAAACCAGGAATAGAACCAAACCTCTAAAAAGAACAAAGGTTTTCTTTCTGTACATTACATGTAAATATGTAACCTAATCCCCCACTTGGTAACCTCTCTGCTTTTTATAATATTACATATTATACTACAACTAAATGCCAAATGATTTAACAGTGGTTTTCAAAAACTGTGTATAAAGCTTAGAGGTTAAGAATGATGAAGTCTAGAGATTTTTTTCATTTCTAAGTTGCCCTTCAACTACAGGGTTTCATGTTCAGAAACTCTCTTGTGTTTTAGGAAGGAAAAAAGGAAACATAACCCTTTTCCTAGAAATATTTCATTAAAAGTGATGCAGTAAATGATCAGTAATAGACTGGAACCATTGTGGACTCTCACAAAGTGTCAGGCACTGGGCTGATGGTTTTACTTGCATCTGCTCCTTTAGTCTTCACAAAACCCCTCATGAGGTTGGTTCTCTTCTTGGCCCCATTTTACAGATGGGAAACTGAGGATCAGGCAGGCCAATTGGCTTGCTCAGGGTCTCATAGCCAGCAAGTGGAGATGCTGGGATTCAAAACCACCTTGTTATCACCTTGCCTCTTGTTTGTCTCTGCTTAATATGATTTCTTAAACATTGTTTTCCAAAGCATAAGATAACCCTGTGATATACATACATGGATAGGAGGGTATGGTAAGGACCTGAATAGAAATAGTGTCTCTGTGATAGTGAATTTGCAACAGTAAAAATGAAAGGCATCCTCAATATTCTTAACAGAAACAATCAGTGCACTCCACAAGAACCACCCTGATGCATCAGAAGCATCACATTTCAGGAAAGGCTAAGACTTTCAAAAAGTTTTGCCCCACAAACACCAAACATAGTCAGCTTCCTCACTGCAGATAGCAAGGACTTGAGAGAAGACAAAATATCATTTGCAGCTGTTTCTCCCTATTGTTCAGAGTGGTAAAACTTGTGGGAAGTAAGACCCTGTAGAAAAGATTCTCTCCCCATTTTCTAAGCAAACCCTTCAATCAAATATCTTTTTTAAAAATGCCTTTATACAGACTTTAAAAATATAATCAAAGAAAACCAAAAAGTTGTATTAGAATCTTCTTTTCTTTGGTTAACCATAAATGTTTATGAGGCACAGAAGTTCACAAAGGGGAGGAAATAATAATACAGCTCAATAATAGACTCCTATTTGTAGAATGTAATTACATGCAAAGAGATCAAGTGGTATGCGTTTATTGAGTGTTTACAAAGTGCCTGAGTGGGCTAAAAAAAAATCAGGGAACTAAGATCTTAATTATCAGATTTCTGGGAACCAAACTTGGTAAAAACAAAGAAGCAAAGAATTCTATCTGAACTGTGCAAGCAAAGCTGCCTAACAGTAAAAAGGAACATTAAAGCAACGGAGAATTGAGAAGCCACCCCTCTTTTGCCAAGTAAAGCCATTAGCCCAGTGCCTGATACTCTTTCCAAGCTTGTCTTTGGTATTCCTTCCCTCATTAGCAGAGAAACATCCTCTGCAAAATTCTCTTGCCATCTCAAGAGATGTAGTGGTGGGCTCCCATGCATCTCTGCCTAGGAGCTGAGGATGCAAAGAGGACCTGGACCCCTTGATGAGCTAAGATTTTAACCAGTACTTATACAAGTCCTATCACTGACCTACTCTTTCTACCTCCCAAGGCAAAATAAGCTATGATAGTAAGTCATTCACACTGATGAATGGATTGGTCATTTACAGATCCTACAAAGCTCATTCACCCTAAATGTGACTTTTACCATGTTTTTGCATTTTAAGTCTGTTTTCTTCCAATTATGGGGAATGAGTTTTAGAGTCAATAAGAAAGTTTGGGGAGGAGGAAGGAGTTATGGTTTGGATCTTAAATGTCCTTCCAAAACTCATGTGTTTAAAGTTAAAGTTTAGTTGTCAGCCTGTGGTACTATTGGGAGGTGATGTGATTTTTAGGAGGTGGGGCTCCTCTCTCTCTCTCTCTCTCTCCCCCTCTCCTCTCTCCTTCTTTCATCTCTCCCTCTCTTTCTTTTTCTTCCCTGGCTCCCATGAGGTGAACAGCTTTGGTCTACCATGTACTTCTGCTATGATTTATTTTCTCATAGAAGGCCAAAAAGCAATGAGTCATGTAACCACGATTGAAATCTTTGAAACCATGAGCCAAAAATAAATCTTTCCTCCTTTTAAGTTGATTATCTCAAGTATTTTGTTATAGTAACAGATATCTGGCTAACACAGAAGGTGAACATAGAAACCCCTCTTTCTTGCTTATCTAGGTGGCCCTAAGAGTCACAGCTGGAAAGTTACCACTTCAGAGGGCCTTTCTGTGACACTGGCTCTTACATATGGTTTATTTTATTCATGGCACTTATTATTATAAGACATTATGTTGTATATTTATTTATTGTTTGTCTTCATGCACTTTCCTCTAAGCACTGTGAGAGTAATGACCTAGTGTAATGATTGGGAAGCTTGTGTCCTTCCAGAATTCATGTTGAAACTTAATCCCTAATGCAGAAGTATGAAAAGTGGGGCCTTCAAGTGATAGATGATGAGAGCTCTGCCCTCATGAATGGAATTGGTGCTCTTATAAAAAGGCTCAAGGCAACTTGTGCTCCCAGCTTTTCTGCCGTATGTGGCAGTATTTTGGAACAAGAAGGTACTGTTTTGGAAAGCAGAGAGCAGCCCTCACAAGACACCAAATCTTCTGGTGACTTAATCTAAGACCTTCTAGCCCCCAGAACTGTGAGAAACAAATTTCTGTTGCTTATAAATTATACAGTCTGGGATATTTTGTTATAGCAGCGGGAATAGACTAACACAAATTTTCAGCTTTGCTTTCTACTCTGTCCAGGTAATCTGACACTCTGGCTAGAACATAGGAGGTTATCAGAGAATCATTACTGAATGAACAAATGAATGCATGAGCAGATGAACAAATGACTATATTTGACAACTTGATTGAGTTCCTTAAGAGGGGTTGACAGAGATTCGGAGATCTGATGGGTTAGATGTTGAACTTTATGCCACAGGTCAAGGGTAAGCAAACTGTGAGCAAGCTGTCTGTTTTAATAAGATTTATTAGAACACAGTTACATCCATTAGTTTGCTCATTATCTGTGGCCACTTTGATATTCAAGGGCAACTGAATAGTTGAAACAGAGCCATATGGTCTGCAATCTGAAAATATTTGTGATTTGGCTCTTTTAGAAAAACTTTATTGACCCACACCTGAGACTTCCCTTAGGGAAGGTGAAGTGAAACTGCTAGATGCAGAGAATGTACAAGCTGTTGAAAATTAAGCTAGTGCCTTATCCTCATTAAAAATGTTTACCTCAAGTGCTTGCCTAGCATATACAAGGACCTGGGTTCAAACACTAACACCACCACCCCCCTCCCCCAAAAATGTTATCCCCTGCATTTATATACACTATTTTTTCAAAATAGTTTTGATTAAAACTTTTTTACATCATGTATTTAATGTCTTTAAAAGTATCTATCTGTCATAGTAGTTAAGACAAGCTGTGTTGTATTGCAGTCACACACAACTGGAAATCTCAACTTCTTAACATGATCATGTTGATTTGTTGCTCATATTCCTTTTCTCATGTAGGTTAACTGGAGCTGTTCACAGTATAGTCCCTCAGGAAGCCAAGACTGATGGAGACCTATTTGTATTCTACTCCCTTGATTTCCAGAAATGGGTTTGGAGGTTGAGACTACAGTAAACCACACAAGAGTGTGAGTTTCTACCTGGAAATAACAGATGTCACTCTCCTCACATTTCATTGCCCAAAGCAAGAATTACAGTTTAACAGGGTAAGGACACACAGTATAATCTTCCCACAGACATTGATTAGCATTGAGTGTATGGAGGAAAGTCATAAGTATTTATAATTAATCTTTCAGTAGTTAGGAGGAAAATTACTGCATTAGGCATGCATACTATGTATAGCAACCCTTAGTAGGTGATATTTAAGCAACAATGAGGGACTCCTTTCCTAAATCCGACCCCCTGAAGTACCTTGAAATACCAGTCTCTAGAACTATTATTTAAGAAATCAAAACCACTGAAATTTGAGTTAGGCTATAATGGTCTACCAGACATGTTACTAACTTTAATATTTAAAACTTTGTTGATAGCAAAAATAACCAAGCAAACAATATCAAAACAATACTCAGTAATTGAGAACACTTTGCATCACTCTATATTTGTCTAGAGTTCTCAAGGCCACAAAAGCTCTTCCTGTTTGAAGGGAGGGATTAGTGGGGGTTGTTTGTTTGTTGGTACCAGGGATCGAACTCAGGACCTTGTGCTTGCGAGGCAGGCACAGTGCTACTAAGCTAAATCCCCGTCCTAGGAAGGATTAGTTTTTTAAGATCTTTGTATATTCTAGATATCAGTCCTCTATCAGAAGAGTAACTAACAAAAATCTTATCCCATTCTGCCGGTTCTGTTTTTATTCTGCTGATGGTTTTCTTAGTTGTGCAGAAGCTTTTTAATTTGCTGTAATCCCATTTGTTGATTCTTGATATTATTTCTTATGCTTGGAGTTCTGTTCAGGAAGTCCCTTCCTGTGCTTAGAGCTTCAAATGTTTCTCCTATGTTACCTCTCAGCAGTTGCAAGCTTCCTGGCTTTGTATCTAGGTCTTTGAAATATTTTGATTTGATTTTAGAACAAGGTGAGTGATATGGATCTGGTTTTGATCTTCTCTGTGTGGATAGCCAGTTTTCCAGGCACCATTTGTTAAAGAGGCTACCTTTTCTCCAATATATGTTCTTGGCTCTTTGGTTAAAAAAAAAAATCAGGTGGTTGTAGGTTCATGGAGTAGTTTCTCTGTCTTCTGTTTTACTCCATTGATTTATAAGTTTAATGTGCCAGAATCACATTGTTTTCACTGCTATAGTTTTGCAGTATAACTTGAAATCTGATGTCTCAGTTATTTGCTCCTTGCTGGGACAAATTACTTGATATCTACAACTTGCAGGAGAAGAGGTTTATTTTTGGCTCACATTTTCAGTCCATGGTCAGCTGGTTCCAAGGTAGAAAAAGCATGGCAGAAATGCCCAGATAGGAGACTAGAAGAGCAAGAAGGTGCAGCTGAGAAACACAGAGTACTGCATAGGCTTTCTTGCCAAAAAACTCTTAGAAATGAAAAGATGCCTGAGGCAAAAGGGAGAGTTTTTCAGTTCCCTAGTGAGGTTGTCACATAAGTGCAGGAGCAGCACTGGAGGCTTGTTCATTGAGAAACTTTTGGGAGGATCTCTTGCGGCCTGTTGGGACAAAGATGTTCCCACACAGAGGGCTGCTAGACAATCTGCGTGCTCAGGCTCTTCCACCATGCCCTTCCTGTCTTGGAACCAGCCAACCATGGACTGAAAATGCAAGCCAAAATAAACTTCTCCTCCTTTAAGTTATGGATGTCAGATATCTTGCCTTAGCCATGAAGAAAGTGACTAAGTCATCGGGGAGTGTGATGTTTCCACAACGCTGTTCTTTTTGCTCAGGATTGTTTTAGCTATTCTGGGTCTACTCTGATTTAATATGAATTTCAGAATTGTTTTTTGTAGTTCTGAGAAGAATGTTGTTGGCATCTTAATAGAGATTGCATTAAATCTGTAGGTTACTTTTGGTAACACAGTCATCTAAAAATATTAGTTCTTCTGATCCAAGAATAAGGCATGTCTTTCCATTTTCTAATGTCTTCAATTTCTTTCTTCAGAGTTCTGTACTTTTCAGTGAAGTCTTTCACTTCCATGGTTAGGTTGACTCCTGGGTATTGCATTGTATTGTATTGTATTGCATTGTATGGTATTGTATTGTGGCTCTTGTGAATAAAATTGCTTTTCTGATTTTTTTTCTCAGTGGATTCATTACTGATGCACAGGAATGCTGTTGATTTATATGTGTTGATTTCATATCCTGTCACTTTGCTGAATTTGTTTATCAGATCTAGAAGTCTTCTGGTGGAGTTTTTCAGGTCTTCTCAGTAGACTTATATTTGCAAATAGGTATTATTGGACTTCTTCCTTTCCTATTCATATCCTTTTTATTTCTTTCTCTTTCCTGATTGCTGTGGCTAAAGTTCTGAATATTATATTGAACAGGAATGGCAAGAGAGGACACACTTGTCTCCTTCCCAATTTTAGCGGAAATGCATTCAGTATGATGTTGGCAGTGGAGTTGTCACATGTGGCTTTTATTAGTTTGAAGTAAAATCTTTCCATACCTATTTTCATCAGGGTGTTTATCCTGAAAGGATGTTAAATTCTGTGGAAATATTTTTCAGCATTTATTGAAATGATGCTGATGTGATTTTTTTTTTTTTTTTTTTGGTACCGGGGATCGAACTTGGGTCCTTGCGCTTGCGCAGCAGGCGGTGAAACCACTGAGCTAAATCCCTGGCCCACTGATGTGATTTTTATCCTTGATTCCATTTATGTGGTATGTTACAGTTTTGATTTATGTATATTGTACTATCCTTGCATCCCTGGGATGAAACCAACTTGATCATGGATATGATCCTTAGCAATTAGGGAAAGATAAATCAAAACTACTTGGAGATTCCATCTTACCTCCATCATAATAAATAAAAAAAAAAGAATGCTGGTTGGTGAGGACGTAGTGAAAGAACAACACTCTTACATTGCTAGCAGGAATGTAAATGAGTACAATCACTATGGAAATCGGTGTAGAAATTCCTCGACAAACTAAATATAGAATGCCATTTGAGGGGCTGGGGTGTAGTTCAGTGGTAGAGTGATTGCCCAGTATGCTTAAGCCCTGGGTTTGATCTTCAGCACTTTGGAGACTGGGCGAGGTGGTAGAGGGGAGAGGGAAGAGAAAGGTACCATTTGATCCAGCTGTACCCTTTCTGGGCATAGTCCCAGAAGAATTAAAACAACATACTATAGCGATATATGCATACCTATGTTTTCAGCAGCACAATCACAATAGTTATGCTCTGGAAACAGCATAGATACCCATCAACAGGTGATTGGATAAAGAAAATGTGGTATACATACACAATGAAATATTATTCAGTCACACAAAAAAAGAAACCATGTCATTTGCAGCAATGGATGGAACTCAAGACCATCATGCTAAGAGAAATAAGCTAGACTCAGAAAGTTAAATGTCATTATTTTCTCTTATATGAGAAACCTTAAATAAATAAATAAATAAATAAATAAATAAATAAATAAGAGATGCCAGGGAATTAGAAGTTAGACTTTGGGAGTTGAGAAAGGAGATTGTGGGGGGTAGGAAGGAAAGAGAGAAAAGGGTAATAGGATTTAAGATATGTTAAGTGAAATCATTGAAAAAATAAAACATTTTAATAGAAAAAAGAGGATATTTAAAAGAAAGCACTCCCTGCATCTAGCTACAGCAGGAATTCTTCGAATTCCTTTGTATAACTTCAGCATGCCTATAGTATACAAAATAAGAAATGTCTGTTCCCTAAAGTTTCCATATCAGGGTGCAGAACTGTCTGACCTGAGCTTTTAACATCTTATTCATCTCACTCCTAGAAATCAGTGCAGGGCCAAGAGCCAGGCAAGTGAACATGTGGAGCATGTGTGAGGTCAGGCATGGAGGTCGTGGCACGGCTGGGGAAAATTTGTCTTCTGCTTTTAGGGAGCCCTGGGCAAAAAAAAGCACAAGGAGGGATTGTCTAGAAGAACAGGGGGAAACCCTGCTTAATGGTCAGGCTAATTACTGACCTTGGTATGGTCATGGTCAGCTGGTGTGACTGACCTTTTACTTGCTAGTACAAAGCAGCATGTGGGTCTCCTAGAGGAGTTGGAAGGGAGTGCCTCAATCTGTTTGGCCAGTTGATCCCAGTTATCCAGATGAATTTAAATTTGGGAAAGTAAAAGCCTCATATTCAGTAACAAAAATCAGAGCCTTTGAATCAGTATGTGAAGGAAGCTGTGTATCAAAAAGAGAAAAGTGGGCAATCTTAGTCAGCTGGACCAAACTAAGCACGTTGAAGTACCATAGACTAGATGGCTTCAACAACAGGCATTGATTTTTCTCAAGGTCTGGAGGCTGGAAATCCAAGACCACAGTGCCAGCTGGGTTAATTCCTCTGAGGCTCCTCTCCTTGGCCATTTCCTTGCTGCCTCTTCATGTGATCATCCCTCTGTGAAAGCCTACCCTTGCTGTCTCAGGGTGCTCTAATCTCCTCTTCTTATAAAAACACCATTCAGATTGGATTAGCATCCTCCTAACATCCTCATTTTACCTTAGTTATCTTTTTAAAGGCCTTTTCCCAGAGAAGTCACATCTGAATTACTGGGACTTAGGATTTTAACATATGAATTGGGGCTAGGGGAGATAAGATTCAGACTATAACCTGGATTCCTCAGTACTTAATTGAAGTCAGGCATGGTGGTGCACACCTGTAATCCCAGCACTCTGGGAGACTGAGGCAGGAGGATGGAAAGTCTGAGCCCAGTCTAGGCAACTTAGTGACTTAGTGAGATCCTGTATCAAAGTTAAAAAACAAAAACAAAAAAACAGAGCTCAGTGCAAAGGCTATGAATTGATTCCCCATTACTATAAATAGTAACAATAACAACAACAAAAATAATTGAAACTTCTCATCTTGCCTACAAATCGACAAAGAGCATCACACATGACTGCCCTGAGCTTCCTAATCTCACAAATCTCCTCCACTAGATCCATACTGACACTGGTGTTTGTGCCTCTGTGTGCCTGTGTGTTAACATAAATATGTGTGATTTTGATGTGTTGTCTAAAAAAAACACTATACAAAGGGACAAACTGCAAAATGAAAGCCTATAGTCTAGATATAAAAATATAGCATTGTCTAACCCATCCTTTTCCATTTAGGCTCTTTCTAGAGCCTAAATAATTTTAATGATGTTGGCAATGCCATGAGATATTGGTTCAGCATGGTGCACAATTTTTATGACCATGGAGATTTGCATAATAGAGGAAGATATAAAGAATCCTCTGAAGGGCTAAGGCGCTCCCAGAACATGATGATGTCTTCCCATTTTCCTCTGAAAAAATCTGTACTTTGCACTTAGACTTGTGTGATAGTTTAGCAGAGTACATAATTCAAGGGTGACTTATTTTCTTTTAGTACTTTGAATTGTTTCCATGGATTCTAGATTCTCTTGTTGCTGTTGAAAAGAGGTAAACCTAACTGTTATTCTTTCTTAGGTAATGTCACCTTTTTAATCTGGTTCTTTTTTATAATCTTCTCTCTGTCTTTAATCTTCTAAAGTATCATTTGTAGAATGTATTTATTTTTATTTATCTTGCTTGAGATTTGATGTACTTCACCAATCTGAGAAATCATGTCTCATTAATTCTGAAGATTCATGTCTTTCATTATTGTCTTGAACATTGAATTTACTTTTGTCTATTCTTTCCTTCTAGAATTGAATACCTATGTTTCCCTCCATGTCTTTTAGCCTGAATTTCATAGTTTCCATTTCGTTATCTTCTCTCCATACACCATTATGAGATGATTCTTCTGCTCTTTTATCCAATTTACTAATTGTGTTAGACTATTTATTTTGCTATCACAGAATACTTGAGACAGGTGATTTATCGTGAATAGAAATTTGTTTCTTATAGTTCTGGAAGCTGGAATGTGCAAGATCAAGGTACTGGGCTTTCTTGTAGTGTTCTTAGATGTCAAAGAGACAGAGGACCCAAAAGGTGAACTCTGTGTCTTCACATAGCAGGGAGGCAGAAGAGACTCTACTCCTGTGAGTCCTTTTTATTGCATCATTAATTCACTCATGAGGATGGATTCCTCATGATCTATGTACAGTGGACCCTTGACTTACGAACTCAATTCATTCCTGAGGGCTGGTTGTAACTCAAGTTGGTCAATTGAAGGCTCAGGCTCCTCTACACAGCCTTCAAAGTCTCTCTCCTGTATATAGGCAGATCTCAGTGTTCTCAGAGAGACATTGGGGCAGGATTTCTCAATTAACCCCACACAGGAAAGGAAGTTGAAATGTTCCTTCCAAAACTCTTTAAAGGTTAAATCTGTATCTGAGACCATCTGAAAGCAAAAGAGGTTGGTATTCAGGTCATAATTCAAGACTTTGGTTGTTAAGTAAAAACTAAAATTCTGATCATATCCCAAGTTGTTCATATGTCAGGCTGATTGTAACTCGAGAGTCCACTGTATCTTCTATTAGGCCCCATTTTCCACTGTTATTTCATTGGAGATTAAGTTTCCAACACATGAATTTTGGGGCACACATTCAGACCATAGCACTAAAACCATCTTTCCTTGTGATTTATCTGCCATTCAATCTAACCATTATATTTAAAATTTTAATTACATTATATTTTTCATTTCTAAAAATTCTATTTGGTTCTTTTTAATACTGCCTAATTATTCTTGAAGGTCTTTGTTCATTTCTTTTTGTGTTTATTTATAGGGCAAGGAGAGAGGCTGACAACTGAACTCAACCTTCAAGCATGGTAAGCACATGCTCTACCACTGAACTACATTCCTCATTTCTTACCATTGCATTTGTTACTTCATAAATAGTTTAACCACAATCATTTTACCTTCTGTATTAGATAATACTATGCTCCAAGTTCTTGAAATCTAATTCTGTTCTCTATTGTTTCTGCTGAGTCTAATTTATGATGGTTTATTTTCTATTGTTTGTAATTTTTTACCGATTATTTGTTTATATAAGCCCCTCTTAAAAATAGAACCTGGAGAGTCTGTCTGGAAGATACATCCTTCTACATCCCATGTGTTTTAAAGTGGTTGAAATTAGAAATAATTTTCCACCTAAGGTTTCATAGACCACAGAAGTAGTACAAGTGCTAAGCGCTCTGTGGTCAGCTTTGGGATTATAAATTCTTGAGAAGGTCTCATTAATGTTTTTCCTTTTCATTCCTTTGACCAACACCTGAGACAGCCACATTTCTTTATTGACTTCCGTCTTCCAGAGGATGATTTCTTTTTCCTAATCCAACTCTGTGCATGAGGATGTGTATGTCTGAGATCCTTAGGTCTTTCCTTTGTTTGGTTTTTCCACAGAGAACCAGTTTCCAAAGGTCAGTAGATACTTCAGGGTCTGCTGCAACTCTAGTTGACATATTTTCCTCCCTTGAAGTTCAAGTAAGTTTCACTGGAAATGACAAGGAAAAAACATACAAATTTATTAATGTACAAAAGCATCGGAGAAAGTCACATGACTGTGATTACCAGTAGCCCAGCATCATTTAAAAGTTTACCCCTTTCTCTACAGGACAGGGGGAGAATAGGGTATGTCAGGAAATAGTAAATATTCTTAGGGAAATTCAGTGAGCTAAGAGAACACACAAAGGCCTGGAACAAAGTCCACTGGACCCTCAGAACAGACAATAGATTGAAATGATTTGTTATGGGAGCAAAAGAGAGGAAAGTGGTGTGTGAAAGAAGTTTGACCAGGTGTGTTGACAGACTTCAATATTTCTTCCTGTAGTATGAATTTAGTTAATAGAAATTCAGAGAAGGGACCAGAGGTAATTGTTTTTTTCCTTGTGGACCAGACTCTAAGAAGACAAGGAGATACTAGAGGAAATCTTCCAATATTTGCTGCTCTCTAAATTCCTTTAACTTAAAATAATCCACCATTCCAGGCTGCCATATTTGGGGTGGCAGTACTTGGAGTCCTTCATTTTACAGCAACAGATAAACTCAATATCCGTTTTCTTCTTTTCTATTAGAACTCCACTTTTGTATGGTATATAATATGCATACCCATAAAAAATTTATATTTCCCTTCCTTCTTTTCAAATGTGTGTTCATATGACACAGTTTTCCTAGTAAATAAAGACACTGGAGGGAGTAAATAAAGACTCTGGAGATTCAGAGAATCTCCCAGAGGGGGCATACTTTGCTGCCTGTCCTTTCTTTCCCTTCTTCCTCCTTAGAACATAGACTTGATGCTATAGGTGGTAAGCTGTCTTATAAGGATAAGGAACTAAATCAAGAGAATCACAAAGATGTCAGCCTTGACATCCTTGAGCCTCTGTTCCAAAGCCAGTAACTTTTCAAAATATGAAGGAAATAAACTTTATTGTATTAAAGCTACTGTTATTGCATGAGAAGCAGAGAATTGGTATGGTAATAGTGTTTCAATTACCCATTCCTAGTGTGGAAGCTGTGTAGTATAGTAGTTCTCAACCCCGACTGTACATAAGAAGTCTCTGTGGGTGGGGAGAAGTTTCATTATATTCTGTACCTTCATAAAATGGCACATTTTCAAGGGCATAACTTGCCAGGTGACATGGCCTGGCAAAGCCACAGAATATAGTGCAGAAGAACTAGAGAGCAGTGTGAAGTCATTAGCTGCCTCTTTTTGTTGGCTGCTTATCCGTTGTAGAAAAGGTTTAAATTTATTCTTTTATCTCTGAAGGATTGATCATTTTTGTCTGTACATAAACTGACAATAAGCAAATTAGCTTATTTTAAAAAATCACAAATTTATTAACATGCAGAAAACCAGGAGTCAGACACAAAGAAGGGTTAGATACTGGAAACTTACACAGAGCTAAAGCAAAAGGAAGGATTTGGGCTTCTGGGGAGGGGAAGAGGCACAGATTATAGAAGGTTGGGGGAAGAGGCACGTAGAGTGCAAGGACTGTCCTGTTGTGCAGATGAAGTCTCCCAGGTAACTGTCACTTGTGGGCCTCTCTGTCTGGGCCAGGTGTCAGAGACTCAACCTCTTCTTCCGGTGAAAATAAATATCTTTCTTAGGAAGAAAGGGGAATACCAGACAGAGGAGAGTGGTTAGGCAATGTGGTTGGTCAGGGAGGAAGAATCAGGAACAGAAAGGAACATGGAATGTTCTTGTAATTTATGTTCATAAATACAAGCACATTACGTTGGAAGCAAATAGAAAGTCCTCTAAAGACTGACAGGTTAAATAAAAATGTTTTAAAATACTCCCCAGAAGTTCACAAAACAAACATGAGGCCCATTCATATTTCCACCTCTCCCTCTTTCTCCAGAACCCCGGTGATACCACCTGTACCACCGGGTTGGTGGTTCTGCAAACGCCACAGAATAAAGTCCCAACCCCAAGGATGAGCTTAGGAGAGGTTTAATTAAAATAAGGAGAAGGAGAATACCTCCTGGATTTCCAGAAGGGATCCTGAATGGGGGGTGGGGGTGGCCGCCTGCCCTTTCAATTTAGAATTACTTATAGGCAAGTAGGGTACCAAAATTGCTTAATTGTTTAGTGGTCACCTACCTATCACAGGTGGTCTGTGGATTTAAAATGACCAACTGGGACTCAGACTTTTAACCCAGTTCTTTGACATGTAGGGTTTACAGGAAACTGGGATCTCAGAAGGAACTGGTTCATTTACATTATGGTTTCCTCAAAATTCAGGAAATTAGTAGAGAGTGACTGCATCTCCTCTAGTAGGGGGTGGGCTGCATTCCATGGTCCCTGAGGAAGTTCATTCATTGTCCAAAGTCCTAGTTCACTGTCTATTCCTAATTTTTATCAGTATGGCTGGTCACCCCATTCTATCTCAGTCCCTTCCACTTATAAACTAATAAACTATTTTCTACATTGGGTCTTTGGGTGAGAAGTTTCCTAGGCTAATTCCATACCAACTCGCTTTGTTTTCTGTTTTTTTCCAAAGGGCTTCCAAAATTCCCTTCCCTGCTACATAACTCAAAAGGACAAATTGCCCTTTGAGTGACCAACAGTGCCCTTCATATCTTTAACACCAGAACCTTCACTCTGCCCTGTTACTGGCCTATTATTATGAAGCCAATTTGTCTTCTTCCCTTACATGTTCTCAGGCTCCTAGGAATCTGTGGAGGAAGTGGCCATGACCTTTCTTCCTGCTTCACTGGTTTCTGAGGACCTTCCGTCTCCTTGCACAGCTCTGTGGAAGGAATAGTTCGAACAGTCCTCGACTGGAATTTCTGACATGCATAGCACAACGACAAACTAAGCAACATGATAGCCATTTGGAGTATCTAAAACTGTTCCTTCTGAGAAGGGAGAGACCACCACCAAGACTGAACTTTTCATGATGATTATTTCCATGATTAGTTGCCTCATCCTCTCATGTCCAGTTCCCTGCCAAACCTGGGAGAAGAGATGAATATAAGGGTCATTTGTGAATAGAAGTGGCCTGATGCATGACAATAGAGTGACGGCTATAAGGACCACTTTCTGGAGTCGGGCAGCCAAACTGTGATTCTACTCTTTCGGTTCTACGATTTGGGCAATATTGTGGATCTCTTTGATACTTTTGTTTCCCCATAAGTAAAAACAGGATAATATAATGTCCACGTTGTTGTGCAGATTAAGAAAAACCTTGCAGCTACTAAATCGTCAATCCCTATTAACTTTTAAGCAGATAGTGTTGCACAGCAGTTAAGAATGAAAGCCCTGGAGCCAGACTGCCTTGGTTTCAATCCCAATACTGTCACTTACTGTGTGGTTTTTGGCAAGTTATTTATTCTCTCTATGTCCCAGTTCCCTCTTGTGCCCAAAGGGGATATGATATCCATTAGTACTGATGTAAGGATTTAATGACTCAACATATGGGTGGCTCAGGACAGCTCCAATTTTTGCCTTTTTCTTAGTATTCAGATTGGCTTAGCATTTGCAACTCCCCTTTAACTCTCAAAAGTGTCCCAGGTTGGACAGTTAAGTACATGATCACGTAGCTAATGTATATATCAGTGATGGTGAACCTTTTAGAGACCAGTGCTCAAATTGTAACCCAAAACCCAGTTATTTATTACAAAATGCCAACACTGTGATTAAACCTAAGTACTGAAGTTTTAGTTTAGAAAAAAACAACTCATACATTAATGTCTTCTGTCTTAAAAACAAATAAACACGTCATAGGTTCACCACCTCTGGTAAATACCATTTAGAAAATGGCCTGGTATAGAGTAGATGCTAAATGTGTGTTAGCTGCTAAAAGAAATATGATGTAAGCTATACAATAATTTTTAATTTTTCAGTAATCACATTTTTAAAAATAAGAAAACATATAGGTTAACAAATAGTGTTAATAATATCCCAAACATTAGTATTTCTATATGAAATATAGAAAGTATTAATGAAACTTTATTCAGGTTTTTATTCTTACTGACCCTGGAATCTGGTGTATTTTTCATATACTGTACCATATAGCACATTTCAATTGAGACTAGCAACATTTCCAGTGCCCAGTGGCCCTGTGTATGTCGTGGCTACCATATTGGGTGGCATGGCTCTAAGGATCTGCATTCCTCATGTGTGGTGATGGGCCAGAGTCTTAAGTCCTTCCAGGTCTGTACTTCCATGATTGAGATGTTCGTCTTCTCTGCCATAGTCTGCAAGGAGGCCACCGATATAGGGTTTTGGAGTCCATTTATTACCAAATATCATAGCTTTAATCTACTGAGTAGGTGGCTTCCTCGCAAGTGAGTATTTATAGGCTCCTTTATTGCTATGGTCTTACCAAATTACAAAAAGCAATAATAAAACTATTTCACTAATTTCTCCTGTGTTAGTCTCCTTCTACTGGGAAGAATCCACTGAAGAATTTTTTCTGTGACCATTTAGACTTGTGTGTTTGTAGGCTATTTCTCTCTAGCCTTACACTTGTGATCTTGTGTTTTTGTTTCATTTTCTGGACCAGATCTAATAACTTCATATTCCTCTAAGCCGCTCTGCTTCTAACTAGACCCCAAAGTACAGTTATATCCTGACTATACTGGTTAGCTTCCCGTCACTGTAAGAAAATACCTGATCTCATCACTGTGTAGAGTAAAGATTTACTTTAGTTTACAGTTTAGGAAGTTCCAGTCCATGATTGACTGGTCCTGTCATTTTTGGGTCTGTGGTGAGTCAACACATCCCGGCAAGAGAATGTGGCTGAGCAAAACCATTTACATTGTGGCCAGGAAGCAAAGAGGAAGAGGAAGAGACCGGGGTCCCACAGTCCCCTTCAAAGGCACACAATCCTAGGACCTAAAGGCTCCTACTAGGCCCCAGCTCTTAAAAAGTTCCACTGCCTCCCAATAGCACTACCCTGTGGATCAAGCCTTTAACACAGGGGCCTCTGTGGGACATTTGAGATTCAAACTATAGCACTGACCAAACACCAAATACAGTAGCAGGGTTTTAGTTCTTGTGTGGTAGCTAACTCTTTTTCCTTCTTCAGGGGCAGTTTTTTATTACCTTAATCTTAAAATATTCCTAATCTGGGGAAAATCAACAGTAATGAGCTATTGGGACAAGGAAGAAGGGATATGCTATTATTTAATTTCGAAAATGAAAGCTGAGCCCTAGCAATCAAAGAATTCTACTTACGGAGTCTTGCTAATTTCTGGATAGCAACGCCTTTGGAGTTGGTGTGACAAGACTGAACCACTAGAATGATTAGAGAACAATGCTTTGCCATAGATGACAGGATAATTTTGCTTGTGAAGGTTCTACAAACTGAAAATGGACTTAGTAAATGAACTGGAAAGTTCTCAGACACTATATAGTTTGATGTTTTCTTTTACTTATTAGGAAAGTGGGACCTGAAGAAGTTAAGGTCCTTGAAGTTCAAGTTGCAAGTAAGTAAAGGAGTCAGGACACCTGGTCTCTTGGATCTTAGTATTCACTATAATGACAGCAGATGCGGGTCTGTGGAGGTATTCACCAGGACATGGGACTTCAATTTAACCACATCCACAGAGTAGGTTCTTCACTATCATTGAAGCCAGTTGCTGGGCTTGTTAGTGAGAGGAATAAGCAGATTAGGTATAAAGAGGTACACACTCAGAGTGGGTGTGGGCATTCATAGGTGAGGTATATTATGATCTGGAGCTGGGGATATTTACCTGTTCTTGGGGTTGGAGATCTGCAGAATTTGTGAATCTATAGAAAATCCAGCCTCAACTTACAGGTGAAAGGCAATGGCCCATTTTATAAGTGAAAGACAAGGAAGGGCCTAGACATTGTAACTTTAGATAAGTTTGTGTCCTGAAGTTGAGGCTTCCTTAAAAGTATAATTTTTAAATTATGATTTTCTGTATCTCCTTTCTACTTTTCTTCATTTCTTCTTTCATACCTCAGTAATACATATTACAACACAGCTACCTTGCTTTGGCTAAAGGCATGGAACATACTATTCTCCCTAGAAGCTTTTACTACCTTACACAGGTTATCAGTGGTCATTTTGTTCTTGCTGACTTCTCTTAAACCCTTTTACCTGGGTCACTCTCCATCCAAGGGCATAGTCAATGTATCTTGAACCCAATTAGCATTTCTAAAAGGCATGGGCAAACAACCAATGAGAACACTGTCTAATCCCACACTTGACTAATCCCCCTGCAGTAGTTAGAACGTCAGCTGTTGACTGACGCAGGTAGATTTATAAAGTAAAAAGTCAGTTTATATTCCAAAAGGGAGAATCTGGAGAAGGATTTTGGCACAACCAACAAACAAGAATCCTTCCCTCCACAATAATCCCTCGTCCTGGTGAGACTTGCTGATGGTATATGGTGGAGTTATCAAATAATGGACTAGCACACAAGCCATACAGGAGCCAGAGAGATGACCTAGGCTCTTCAGAGGTGACTGACAGATTTAAAAGATGAGGGTCAGGAATCAAAGGCTGACTGGGCTGCGTTAGACAATCACTGTTTAACATTTTAACTCCTTCAACTTGTCACTTGTTCCTACAAATATGGGTATGTTAAATTCCCAGCTTCATACACCCTGTAACATGCTCCAAATCTCATCGTCCCAGCTATCTCTGTTTGAACAAGATCAACCTGCTACAAGCAAACTCATGTAGTATTCAATACTGCAATAGGCTGAAATATCCTAAAGTACTTCATTAATATCAACCATGATGAAACTCTGTATTGTAGAAATTGGCAACCTTAAACAAAAACCAAACAGAAATGTGTTTGCTGGTTCACGTTTCTTTTAGAGTGTGATTCTATTTGAGAGAGGAAAGGAAGGGCAGAGTACTGTACATTTTGTTTTAAACTGGCTGTTGGCCACTTCCTTGAGGAGTCTTGACTTATGGTGTTGAGAAGTGAAGACCCCTGCATCTAGTTATGCAGCTGTTGCTTCCTATTTGGCAAACTCACCTGTGAAAGCTAAGACCTGCTGTTCCTTTGGAAGACTGGGGCTGGGAGGTAGGAACATACAAGGTCTAACACATGGATTTTAAGATATAAACTGAACTCTCGGTGAATTTCAGTTTTGTTGAAATTGGCTGTTTTTCTTCCGAAGTTTAGCCAACTTACAAGTGGAACCCAAAGCCCCATACCACTTGTTAACTAAGACTTTGTGCAAAGTATGCAGCATTAGCCAGAAGGGAAGGCTATGGTGAGTAAAACTTTCCAAGCTGGTTTTCATAGAAAAGCCGGGCCAAATTAGATGAGTAGGTAGAGAGCTTTGAAATCCTCGGAATTAATGGAAGAGCTCATCAAGGTCGTGTCCCTTCCAAATCCCCAGCAGAGCAACACTTCCCGCTGGTGAGTCCGTTTTGCCACCTGAAGAGTTAGGAAAGACACTCCAACCGATTGATTCGGGCCAAGGAATGTGAGCACATGCTAGTTTAGTTTCTGTTCAGTCATTCTGGAAAACGTAACCAGTCAGATTCTGGTTAGAAGGGGTTTGGGTTGGTGACTTTTAAACACTAACTACGACCACAAACGATTTGGAAAGCTGACCAGAAACGAACACTGCTTGGGATCTCACCGGTCCCCAGGGTCGCAACGCAGCACCGGTGGTGCCGCTAACTTTAGCTTAGGGCGAGGAGCGGATCCGCGGAGAAAATCCGCGGAGAAAGGTCCCAGGACCCCCCGACAGCCGGCCTCCGACGCCCCAGAGCGCGGGCCGGGGGGATGGGCGCCCCTCCGCGGGTCCCGCCGAGTGTGGGCCCGGGTCACCTGACTCGCGGAATTCGGGGCCGCGGGGGTGGAAGGGGAGGGGAATGGCTAGCACCTCCCTTCCCGCTCCCGCGGGATCCAGGTCGGCGGGGGCCGGCGCCCGGCGGCCACGTGGTGGTGCTGCCGCTGCCCGAGCCCCGCCGGCCCAGCCCGGGAGCCACGGCGCCCACTGACCCCGCGGCGGGAGGAGGAGGAGAAGGAGGAGGGACGAGGCGCAGGAAGCGGAGCAGGAAGCGAGCCCGGCGGCCGCGCTTTCCTAGGAAGCGGCAGGCGGGGTGGCGCGCCCGGCAGGGCTGGGGAGCGGCCGCCTCGATGGGGTGAGTACGCGGCGCCAAGGGGTGGGAGGCTCGCGCGCGGGGTCCCGGCTGCGTCCCCGCCTTTGTGTGTGGAGCTCGCGCGAGGGAGGCGCCGAGGCGCTGCGATCGGCGCCTGGCGGAGCGGCAGCGAGGGTCCCGCCGCCAGCCGTCGGCGCCGGGCGGGTTTGGGGACCAGAGGCAGAGGAGGATGGTGGGGACCCAGGCAGAAAGGGAGAACTGGCCAAGTTAGAATGAGGGGCTCGCCTCCTCCCGCGTCTTGGCGACGCTCGGGACTGCTGGGTCGGGGCCGGGCCGGGTTGCTGGGAGGCAGCGTGAGTGGGAATGAATGACTGGACCCGGCGGGAGTCGGGGCGCGCCCTCGAGTCTGCCCCGTCCCACCTGCTTCGCCCTGCCCGCTCCCCCTGGTCCCTGCTTCTGGGCTTGACCCGCCTCCTGGCTGAACTTGGAGAAGCTGCGGAGGGAGGCGCGAGAGGGAGACTCCGCGTAGCTCCGGAGACCCAGGGTCTGCTATTGTTCCTTTCCGGACTTCAGGGAACCCTTCAGCTGGCCCAAGAGCGCAGGCGAGACCGCTCCGGGCCTCCCGCGGCCCCCTGGACCCGGCCCCCTGGTCCTTTCCCCCGTCGTGGCTCCGAGGAAGACCGGGAGGAGGGATGCTGGAGTTGGTGTGGTGGTGACTTCGGGAGGAAGGAGGGGCGCCTGCCGTCCACCGCGACCCCGGCCCGGGAGGGCGGGATCCTTCTCTCACCTTGCCTTCCTTGCCGGCTTGAGCCAGTCTGTCCGCCGTTTAGGTTCTGCAGTTTGCTGCGTGCATCTGCAACCCCTTTGTGGGGAGGATATGGTAAGGGTTTCAGACCCTGGAGGTGCAACAGACGGGGATTACAGCTGATGGAGCTCTGTGGTACCTGAGGGGATCAGAAGTGACCTCGGAGGGACCTGAGAATGGGCAGTGCATCCAGGCTCCCCTTTCTTGTCCAAGGAGCCCAGCTCAACGCAACTTTATTTCTGGTGGTGGATTGGGGCAAATCTGCGCACTCAGTACCAGTCGCCTGAGACCTGCGGGTTCTCCAACATTGCAGGCTAGTAGGTGATTTGAATGGGTTTCCCTTCCGGGAGAGCTCTGGAGAGTAGAGAGAGGCCGGGAATGGGGAAAGTTTGGTCTTTATCTGTGGAATGTGATCTGAAGGCCATAAGAGCCTGGAGGAGAGAGGATCTGGTTTTGTCTATTAGTAGGACTTCTCAGATGGTCATTTTAGCGAGGAGTCTTAACCTCCTTTGAGGTTTGAACAGAGTTGGAGAAGAGACTGTGAATCATAGGGAGGCTGAATTGATTTCTGTATCCCACACGTGGTGGCCCCTATGCATTCATGTGGTTGGGAGTTTTATTACTGGATATAAATTAATAACCTTTTCTTAATGTTAACTAACAAGTCCTTGTAAGGCAGATTTTTATCAGAAATATATGCAGTTCTTATCATTTTAACCAGCTTGACATGGGCTGAAATAGACATCTTCCTCTGGGCTGCCTCATGATTTTCATCATCTACATTCCTCGAGATGCTTTTTAAATGAATTTATTGAAACATTTACATTCCTTAAATTCGTTTTACGACTTTTGGGGGGAGGGACAGTGGTGCAGAAGGAATCTAGATAGGGCTTTGTGGATTTGAGCCACACCCCAGCCCTTTTTTGAAGGTAGTGATAGTGGCTTTAACACAGTTGAAAAAAAATCTTGGAACTATTGTTTGTGAAACTGAATAAGAAGAATGGATGCTGAGCCTCTGAGTGTTCAGTGGGGGAGTAATACATTGCCCCACCTTTGAATATCGTTTCTGACAGTGGAATTGCGTCTCCTGATTGCTGATTCTCAAAGCATCGTACGTACAGGTACACCTACCATCCTCCTGTGCTTTGGTTATTGTTGTTACCCTGCATCAGACCCAAGGCCTTCTTGTACTGAGCAGGCACTCGGCCACGGAGCCTCACCCCCAGCACCCCTACCTTTCGTTTCAAGGGTGAAGAAACAGATTTGGAGGTTAAGCGCTACTGGGAGTTGAAGTCAGTGGAATGTAGTGGGGAACTTTTGTCTCTCCCTCCCTCCCTTTCTTCTCAAATAAAAATAAATATGAAATATTTCAAATATACATAAAAGAGAAAATATAGTAAAGCATTCATTTTTCCACTAGCTAGGTTTGAGAGTTGCTAATATTTCTATATTTCCTTATACCCTTCCTCATGGAAAATAAGCTATAAGTTAAAGATTTTATCCATCCTGCCCCCTCTTCCTCCAGCCTCAGGTAATCACTAATGTGGAGTTGGTACATACAGTTTCCAGCCGTGTTTGGTACTTCTGTTTATTATATAGCCATAAAAATATATGCAAGTTTGTGTTTAGCATTTCACATAAATGGCATAATTCTGTATCTAGACAGCTTGCATTTTATACTTACTATTAATGTTTTTGAGGCACATGTAAATCTTTATTCACTTTAGCTGCTACAGAGAATTCTACTATATGAATAAATCATAGTATAGCTACTCCCTTGCCAAGAGAAAGTGAGAGTTGCCAGTTTTTCACTGTTATGGGCACTTTTTCTGTTGAGGAACAGTCTGTTTCCACTTTTTTATTGTAACAGTGGTAACAATACAAACCCTGAGACAGTTGTTTCCTTATACACAGATTTCTGCGTTATACACCTATACAGTTAGTTGCTGGATAGTGAGGTTAAAGTAGTGCACCTTTTATCATTTCATTCATTCCTCAACAGATATTTATATAGGATGTCTCTTGGCCATCAGTTGAATGAAAAAGTGGATTGCTCAGTTTTAAACTCTAGGAACATAGATTACATTCATTGACTGGATTATTTTTGTTTTCTCATTTTTGTTTTTAAATAAGAAAAGTGACTCTTCATTATAAAGTTGAAGCAAGAAGCAACATCATTGTGCTGGATTTGGGATACTTGTGTAAAAGCCTTTCTCAGCCATTGGTTGTGTGATCTTGAAATGCTCTCTCAGCCTCCGCTTCCTCGTTTCTTCCTTGGTAATACTAAAGGGTTTCAGGAAGTGTTTCCAAAGGCACATTCCTGCTCTAAGAGTATGAAAATGTGGCTGTGTTAGGAACATATTTTGCCCTTACTGGTAACCCCTTAAACTGGAAGGAGTTTAAGGCATTTCAACACATTGGCTTTCTCATTATTCCTTCAAACTGCCAGGCACCTACCTGCCTCTGCATCTTTGTATTTGCTGTTCCCTCTGCTTAGAGAGCTTCTCCCCTAGATATCTCTGTAGCTGTGCCCTGCTTCCCGAGATGTTTAATTAATCAAATACCCCTTCAATTACGCTCTGATACCTCTTCCTTGTTTGATTTTCTTCCATGGCCCTTATTACCTTCTACTTTGCCGTCTATTTTGTGTTAGTATTGGCTTTCTGTACTTGAATATAAGTCCACAAAGGCAGAGATTTTGCTTCTCTGGTTCACTGTTGTGTCCGTCATGTCCAGAACAGTGGTGACACATCATAGGTACTCACCTATTTGATGAACAAAGAAAAATCGTACTTTTAGTTGTGATTAGTTACGTGGAGCTTCTCTTTTAGCACATGTTGGACATCCTAATGGTGTCTGTTGTTACACAGCTGTTATCAAGTGCTCCAAATGTCATATTTACAGATTTTAACAGGATTTTTAAAAACCCATTTTTTGAAGAAATCACTGTTTAAATCCATGTGATTTATCCCACAAAGTATTTGTGCCTTTGGATATTTTTCACCCAACAGTTCTCTTACTGTGAATTCAAAGAAATGTATAAGTAACAGGATGCTTGGTAGCACACTCACATTTCCTTTTCATGATAACCCAGTTCTCCAGTGTTATAAATGTGGAAGCTGCAGAACCAAAGGATGCTAGTCCCCGCCCCCCATTCCACACAGTATCTGTCCAAACAGGCCAGTGACTGTGACTTTCTAGCAACATCATCCACAATGAATTTCTAAGAACAGAAAGGAGTGCTTTTCAGAATCAATGCAAAGGGCATCAGTACCCTGACTTTGTGCCTTTATCTATGAGGGCTTTTGGGTGGAGGGTGGTTTCATGAATCCAGAGAGAATGATGACCTAATGTAAAGCTCTAGGAAGAACCAATATATAGGAAGTACGTAAAAATACTCCAAGAACTGTCGTATTGTCAGATACTTAATCTGTGGTACAGAAAACATTCATGCTATGGTTCAGTGCATTGTTTTGCTCCAAGCCTACTGAATTTTCTTTGCCTTAGATGATGAGTATAGGAATTGACAAACAAAGCTAAATATATCAAAATCTTCTTGGGTGTATTTTAAGTGGGTAATCAGGAAAGAGGTATAGGTTTTCTTCCAGTTAACTATACAGGAATATGAAACTGATGGTATTCTTAAAAATCACTAGCGTATTGAAGTATGACTTTTAATGTCTATAATAAAATGATAGCGAAAGAAATTAGAATATTATGGGTCAACATGGGTTAGTTCACCTTCAAGCTGAAAACTAAGTATAGAATTATATGATTATTATTAAAACACTGCACAATTTAATGAGATTTCTTCTCTTTGGCTTGTAGTTACCCATGAGCTGGAAATTGTGGGTGGTTCAGCAAAAGTTAGAGAAAGATTGTTCATTAAATGCCCATTTCCTAGCTCTGGCCATCTACAGTGAACAAAAACTGGTCTGGCTTTGGACATCAGACTCACTTTTGGGTATCAGTACTCTAAGTTAACCTTGTAAATAGAAACTGGACTAAACACTCTGTAGTGTTTAATTGAAGGAAACATGCTTCATTCTTCAACTGAATAAGTGTCCAGTAGAGTATCTGTCACATGGTAGGTAATTAACGTTTATTGAGCTACACACTCAACCCCATGGTGGCCATCAGACAAAGAGATGTCTAGTAAAAAAGGGACATTTAAACGATAATCCTAAAGCAGGGAGATGTAGGTAGCAGCAGAATGCAAACTGAAGAAGTGAGGGAA